TAAAATAATACATTTTCAGTCATTTTATTGAAATTGTATATTTTTGATTTTTTTAAATCATAATTTATTGTCTAAAATGTTATTTTATTTATTTACACTATTTTTAGGTAAACCATAATATGAAAATGTTTTTTTAACTGTTGATAATTTAACTGCCAACTGGTCGTAATTGCTGCCAAAGGTGCATCAACAAAGTATTGAGCAAAGGCTGTGAATACTTGTACATGGACGGGATTTTTCAGGTTTTTTATTTTTAATAAATTTCCAATAATTAAAAATATTTTTTCATATTGTCATTATGGGGTATTGTGTGTAGAATTTTAAGGAAATTAATGAATTTAATAAATTTTGGAATAGGGCTGTAACATTAAAAGAATGTAAATGCTTAAAATACTTTCCGGATGCCCTGTATGTATATATATATACACACACACACACACACACTATATACATATATAAATATATATACATATATATATATATATATATATATATATATATATATATATATATATATATATATATATATATATATGGTAACACTTTACAATAACGTTAATAAGTTAATGCATTTACTAACATGAACTAATCATGAACAACACATGTACAGCATTTATTAATCATAATTGAACATTTACTAATGCATTATTAACATCCAAGTCCATGCTTGTTAACATTAGTTAATGCACCATGAGTTAACATGAACTAACAATGAACTACTGTATTTTCATTAACTAACGTATAGCATGAACAAATACAGTAGTAACTGTATTGTTCATTGTTTGTTCATGTTAATAAATGCATTAACTGACATTAAGTAATGAACCTTACACACACACACACACACACACACACTAACATACATACATACATATCTCGTCACACCCCTAATATGTTTATATAGATTAGATATACATAGATTAGTCAATGCAAAGTTATTTTTGCATTCCTAATGCAGTAGTCGCATTCTAATAAGCGTTTGTTGTCGCTATAGTTGTGAAGTATGTGACAATATGATTGACAATATTATGGTAGACTCCCCCAGTCTCTACAGATTTATATCAGGCAACTAAAAACAAAAGTAGTGCAGGTTTTAGTCAGTATCTGTGAGGCTGCTAAAATGCGCTTCTGGCAGCTAATAATGAGCACGCTTAGGGGACTTCAGTAAATTTGCTGAACCTTCTCATCGTGCTTGGCATGATTGCTAATTTTTCAAAGGCAAACATTTTTACAAAGCAAGTTAAGTCGCTGGCCAAATTAATGGAGTTCCAGTGCAAACTTTAGATTTATGGCGGCCTGGTTTTTCGTTCTAATCCCTTGTTATTGTGCGGTTATAATAAATGATGAAATAACTCTGACATGTCTGGCTGCTGTTTTTCAAAAGCAGCGTTTTCCTGCATTTCAAACACGGATCCACTCAAGAGAACGAGCGGCCTGTATCTCGGAGATGAAAACGATAGCGTTTTAATTAACTCGCTCTTCAGTCTTGTCCACTGCACCCAATCGGATGTTTATTTGCCGATGTAACAATTATAGAAAGATCATATTAACACAACAGAGACGGAGCGTAAACCTCTCAGACTTGTGTTTGTATCGGCTCCAGTGAATGCTTTGTTTAGCTAAACAAATCAATTGGGACATTAAAGGAACCGGTATAAACATCATTAGAACGATTTGTTCTGGGTCTGTGTCTAAACCTACTTTTCAAGAAGCCTAAGCAATCTGATGGAATGCAGATTCAATTATTTCAACTTGGATTTGTTCAACAGTGATTTTTTTTAAATAAATTAGGGCTAATGCTTGAGATAACACTTTAGTAATCTGATCTCTATTAATGACTAACCACTGCACATACAGCTCTCTATTATTGTGCACCTTATCAATTTTTTTTTTTCTGGACTATCATAAATACTATCAATTTTGAAAGTCCATAAGCATGTCTTGCTGATTACAATCTTAAAGCATTTCAATTTAACAACAATCTACTAAGAGTGGTATTTTTAGGAACCCTGTGAAATAGTATCAGGAAAAATAGAATTGGGATATTTCTTATTGTCCCTCAAGAAGTTAGTAAATATCACTGATTAAGAACAAGCCTGATCTAAAATGTTGCAGGTTTCACAGCTCACCAGAACAACCCAGGTTGGCTTATTGATAATATAAGTATTCTTGCATAAGATCTAAGGGGTCTTGATTCAAGCGTTATCAGAATACTATTAAAATCCCAATTTACACTCACCAGCCACTTTATTAGGTACACATTACTAGTACCGGGTTGGACCTCCTTCTGCCTTCAGAACCGCCTTAAACCTTCATGGCATAAATTCAGTAAGGTACTGGAAATATTCCTCAGAGATAGTGGTCCATATTGACATGATAGCATCATGCAGTTGCTGCAGATTTGTCGGCTGCACATCCATGATGCAAACCTCCCGTTCCATCACATCCTGAAGGTGCTCTATTGGATTGAGTTTAGGTAACTGTGAAGGCCATTTGAGTACAGTGAACTCATCATAGGCTGCGGGTTTGACACAATGTTCAGTTGGTACTATGGGCCCAAAGTGTGCCAAGAAAATATCCCCCACACCATTACACCACCAGCCTGGACTGTTGTTACAAGGCAGGATGGATCTATTTTCCAATATCCAGATTTTTCCAATCTTTTATCGTCCAATTATGCTGAGGCTGTGTAAATTGTAGCCTCAGTTTTCTGTTCTTAGCTGACAGGAGTGGCACCCGGTGTGATCTTCTGCTGCTGTAGCCCATTCGCCTCAAGATTGGACGTTCAGAAATGCTCTTCTGCATACCTTGGTTGTAACAAGTGGCTATTTAGTTACTGTTGCCTTTCTATCAGCTGGAACCTGTCTGGCCATTCTCCTCTGACCTCTGGCATCAACAAGGCACTTGCGCCCACACAACTGCTACTCACTGGATGTTTTCTCTTTTTCGGACCATACTCTGTAAACCCTAGAGATGGTTGTAAAATACCAGTATCAGCAGTTTCTGAAATACTCAGAACAGCCTGTCTGGCACCAATAACCAAGCCACATTCAGCGTCACTTAAATCGCCTTTCCTCTCTATTCTAATGCTCGGTTTAAACTGCAGCAGATCGTTTTGACCATGTCTACATGCTTAAATGCATTGAGTTGCTGCCATGTAATTGGCTGATTATAAATTTGCATTAATGAGCATTTGGACAGGTGCACCTAATAAACCGGTCAATAGACTGGTCAATGTAACTCCATAACCACTCATGTACAAGTGCAATTACAAGTTATTATTAGGCCCACGTGAAATCTACGCCCACAGAAATTTACAGAATTTTTACAAGTAGGTATTGCTGCAGCCCGGAAACCTCCAAGTGGGTGGGATTACACGGCTAGTATGCTGGGTGACCTCCAAGTAGGTGGGACTTACGCCACAAGTAGGATGGGTTTAGGGTTGGTGTAGTAGAAATTTATATAACACAGCAGGTTTCTGTGTGGTTGGGTTTAGAGTTGTGGTAGGTGTAGATGTTAATATAACCCAACAGGTTACATTAAAGTTGGGTTTAGAGTTGGGGTAGGTGTAGACATTCATAAAACACAATAGGTTTGACTCCTAAACGGCTTCTACTTTACTCCTTTTACAAGATGTAAGATAAGCCTTTGGTGTCTCCAGTATGTGTCTGTAAATTTCCAGCTTAAAATACACATCAGATTTCTTATTATAGCCACCAGGATACGCTCATTTTGGTGTCTGAATACATTGTAGCTGTTTTTGTAGCTTGTGGATTTAAATAAAATTGAGCTGTTTCACACACATATTAGCTTTTACTGACACGATGCTGCCCTGGTGATTATATCGGTTAAAAATTGAATAGCAATTTTACTGACTTTATTACAAACATGCTCTGTTTTAAAAACGTTTTAAACTTATAAAACTTATAAAAATCACAGAGAGTTGTAACAAATATTTTAATCCCAGTTTATTTGTAAAAAATGTTCTGTGGACATGTGTATACATGTTAGTATAGAAAATATTAATTATATATTATATGAGAGCAATACCTAGTTACCAAAAAGTGGTTCTAATTGAATTTGCATTGCAAACCTTTGCTAGCTCCAGTTTCTGTCTCCGACGAGTGTGAAGCAGCTGGGATGAGAATCTGCACCCCCATGTAACAGTCGATGTAATGGTCCATTGTGGTAAAGAAGGAGCTGAGCTGAAAGGCAAAGCTCATGACTTACTGGTCAATCTACGTTTCTACTCTCATCTATGGTCATGAGCTTTGGGTCATGACCGAAAGCACAAGATCTTGGATACAAGCGGCCAAAATGATTTTCCTTTACAGGGTTGGCAGGGCGCAATCTTACAGACAGGGTGAGGAGCTCTGTCACCCGGGAGGAGCTCTAAGTTAAGCCGCTGCACCTCCACATCAAGAGAAGTCAGCTGAGGTGTCTCGGGCATCATTGAAAGTTGTTCCAGGCATGTCCCTCCGGGAGGAGGCCTCGGGGAAAACCCAGGACACGCTAGAGGGACTATGTCTCCTGCTCACCTGGGAATACCTTGGAATCCCCACCGGAGGAGCTGGAGGAAGTGTCCGGGGAGAGGGAAGTCTGAAGTTTTCACCTAAGACCCCATTACCCGGCCTCAGAAAAGCGGATGAAAATGACATGACATTGCAAACCTTAAATTTTCACCCATAAATTTCAAACTTTAAAAAATTCTTGAGTTCATGTTTATGTTTTCATGTTTTAAATGTGTTTAATTACTATACTTTCAAAATAATTTAGCATAAATATGCAGATTTTTTTGGACATAATTATGCTCAGAAATAGCCAAAAAAAATAAATAAATAAAAATCTGCAGATTATGTTTGGCCCTGTTGCTGAAGTGAAACTATGAGACGATTTGCTGTCATGATGATTTCTTTAAAAAACTGTTCGTCCATAAATATGTATTGTGATGTAATAATTACCAACAAACATCAAGTAAAGAAAACCCGCTTCGTAAATAATACATGCTAATAATGTTTATTAATCACACTTAGCAGTCATACAATTATCTTTGATAGTTCCAATTATTAATATTCCTCCTTTACTGTTTATTTATGGTCAGTCTTACCAGAGCAAACAACACCACTTCAATCAATCAATCAATCAATCAATCAATCAATCAATCAATCCTCCATCTCACATCTTATTGTCATCTCTTTGTCATCTCTTGAGGGAAAAGGGACAGAAAGGCACATTGCACTGTCGAGTTGTTTTTGAAAAAATGCAACTCTTTCTGTGCCAGCGCAATTATTCTGGCATAACCGGCTTGGGAATATAAGGCAATTATTTCTGCCGGCTAATTATTCGTTTTCATAATAAAGGTAATTTTTCACCCAGCAATTAGAAGTGGAATGGATGCTCTTGCTGTTTTTTGTCATTCGCTCTGTGACGGTGTGCTTCAGCAGACGGGATTAACGGGCAGGCCTCTCTTGGGCTCGTACGGTGTGGTCCTGCTAACCATTTTGATGCAGTCAATGATGGGACACACGCTCAGGCAGAGAGTGCAGCCGGTGCAGCTGTCCGTGATTACAGGAAGATGAGTCTCAGGGTCAAACTTAATAGCCTGTAAAAGAAGACCAAAAAAAAGCTATTACATTAAAGCAATTATCCACTCTCCATAGGAGGATTTCCCCCACTCATGGGAGAGCTTTTCAGAGAGGGGGAAGAAAAAAAAATGAAGCAACTACAATGACAAGCAGTGAGCACAATGTACTTGAAGGTAAATAATTGGCAGGATTATTTATTTCAGACTCTGTGTTTAGCTCTTTATATTTGCAATATGAATGAAGCAATGGACTATAATCGAATGACCTTCAAAAAAGACAAGTAATCGGAAAACATTTGCTGGCTTTGTGTATTTTTGCAAACAAAATCATATAGCTGTAAATGCTTTCATGTGTAACACATGGTGTATCATAACACATTAGGGTTGGTTTTGATATATACAATTATTGCTTAAACGTGCATAGATTTTGGTAAGGGAGTACACCTTTTGTGTGTTTGTAACGTTCGTAAGGCCCTCCAAATACACACTATTTATTATTATTTTTCCTTCATAATATGTTACACCCCAGGATGGTTCGACCCTCCATGTGTATTTATTAATTCATTTCCCTTCAACGTAGTCCCTTTTATCAGGGGTCGCCTTTGCGAAATGAACCGCCAACTATCCAGCATACATGTTTTACACAGCGGATGCTCTTCCAGGCGCAACCCAGAAATGGGAAATACCCATACAGACTGACATTCACACACACACTCATACACTACAGCCAATTAAGTTATTCCAATTCGCTTATATGTCTTCGGACTGTGGGGGAAACTGGAGCACCCAGAAGAAACCCATGCGAACACGGGGAAAACATGCAAACTCCACACAGAAATACCAGCTGGGACTCGAACCAGCAACCTTCTTGCTGTGAGGTGACAGTGCTAACCAATGAGCCATGCCACGTAGCACATAGTTAAGTCTTCGAAAATAATAATAATAGTAAAATAATTACGATAAAATAAATTCTTTGTATTATTTCTGAAATTACACTAGTTCAAAAGGCTTTTGTAAAATATATTTAGCATTTTCATCATATCTCTATGGTGGCTGAGAGAGCTTAATGCACTGCATTTAAGAAAACACACGCAATTACAAAAAACAACAGCAAATTAAGAAATTATCCTTATCAGTTTAACAGCAAACGTGTTGCAAATTCTCACAACACAAACAACCGAACAAACGTACTGCATTTTGTCATAACACTTGCAAATATACACGTAACACCAAAGAAATGCCCTGACTGTTGCTCAGTGAAGTTGGTGGTCTTTGAAAGGTCATTTTTTATTTTTTTTATTTTAAAATCCTTTGTTTTTTGAGTTTTTTTTTGTAAATTATTAGCCTAATTGATTGTTAACTGAAAGGTTGTGTTATTAACGTTATTTGCGTTGTGACAAAATGCAGTTTTTTTTTCTTCAGTTTCTTAATTGCATGCGTTTTCTTAAATTGCAGCGTTAAGCTCAGTATTTTCAGACATACTGTGAAAATGTCATTGCTCTGTTAAACATCATTTGGGAAATATTTAAAAAAGAAAAAAAAATTCAAAGGGGGCTAATAATTATGACTTCAACTCTATGTATATTGCCATTAGCTATGTTTCAATCCACTTATTTTAATTAGCTTTTGTTATTGTTATGTTATTGCCAAAAAGCTTTTGTAAAACATAATTAGCATTTTCTTCATATCTCACACACTTTTGGGATTTAATTTTGTATATAAACATCTATTGACAACCTATTGCAAAACGAAACATTATTCACATACTGACACACAAATAATTCAAATGTGTTGAAACAACACAATTCCAAGGTTATTTTGGAACAACCTAATTGTTTATGTTTATGTAATGTTTTATGTTCAATCCCCCTAAAATTGTAAAAATTAATACGTTTATTTTTATCGATGTGTGTTGGGAAAACATGAAGAATGATTATGTGGAATCCAGAATCTTTTACAGTGCACACACACACTTTTTGGGTGAGGTTTATGTGCATTTTTACTTTTGAATGATTTATTAATTAATAATAAAAAAGAAATACTAAATGCAATAATAATATGATAACATTCAAATGTGATATTTATTCACATATTCTCAACAAAGGAAAGTAACTGATTGGATGCAATATGGATTAAAATGACAATTTTTAAGATATGAAATGTTTAGAAAATTATGACCCGGATCGCAAAGCTTGTCAACAGATTTTGAGTGCATACATGATGTAATTAACGTTGTGTGTGCTTGTACCTGGTAGCCTGAGTCATTGCAGGTCATGTAGCATTTGCCACAGTTGATGCACATCTCAGGATCCACCAGGGCCTGCACTTGTTCAGTGTTGTCCAGCTCTTGGTAGGCGCCAATGTGCCTCAGCGCTCGGGCAATCACATCCTTCGCACAGAACAAAAGAAAAGAGACAGGGATTAAACGGCAAGACAAACAGTGGTGGCGTCTCAAAGAAACGGTTTGAATGGGAGCATTGAGTTCTTAAGTTAGCTTAATTAAATCAGCGCTGGAAGAAGCGGATGAGTTTTGATGTCTGACTGCTAGTTTGTGATCTCCATTTCCTCCTAGAGATCCCTCACAGCATAATCACCCCCAGGAACAAAGCTGTTTGTTTTGTTATGAGCAGCAAATAATACATATGCTACAAGACAGACTCACGGTACAGGACAGGCTAAACAACACCTTTACGGCGGGGAAACTGCACTCCTACGTCAAATTGCGGTGAGCATCAAAAATGGGAGGGATTTGGATCCTATTTTAATGTCAGAAAATTAAAAAAAGAGACTTATTGTGAGACTTAAAGAGATTTATCACACCAACATGACTGTGGACACACTATTCTTACACAGTTCTGTCTGAACAGCTTACAAAAGAGGGTTTTTATCATAGATGCCCAGTACCGCCGCTCCTTGTATGCAGGCTGCATAGGGCCTCAACTCCGGAGGGGGGCACCATCTCGGTTGCTCAAAATTTTTTTTTACATTTATCTTATAATATTATTAACATAAAGTGAGTGTGAATAAAACATATATTGATAATATGTTGTTAAATACATTTAGACAATTCATTTTATGACAAACGCAAAAACAAACATGTGATGTATTTTTTTCCGTGGATGCGCAAAGCAGCCCGGTCCAATTATCTTTGCAGCTTCTAGCAACATATACATTAGTTATAATTATTGCAATTAAGTTGCAGCTTTATGCCCAGGAAAAGACAGCAGCGGTCTGGAGCCAGGAAGCGGAAAAAGTACAAGGTGAGTTGCGTGCATCACTTTCAGGTAACTTATGTCCATCAATCTGGAAATCATATTTTTGGTTGTTCAAGTAAATTAGTAAGGCTAACATATAAACTTCTCCACAACTGCACCAAATCTGCCTTTTGTGTTGTTGTTTACATTCAGTTTCTTGCTTTGCTGCTGTGCATTGTGCTTAAACTATCACAGGACATGCTTTCTTTTGACGTTTGCCCCTCTTTCCCATGTTGCTGATACATACACACACTCAATTATTATAAATAACTTGTGCAATACTTTACAATTCTGTTTGCACACCAGCTAACCACACATGCACTGCATAATTATTTCACTGTCTCTTTTATTTATTATATAGTTATTGTATTATGTTATATATATATTTATATAGTATATAATTCTTTGCAGTTGTTTATTGTTTTGTTTATTTCTGTACATTTCCTATTGCTGCTGTTGTTATTGCTTGTATCACTGCAATGACAATATAGTCTCTTTAGTCTTTACATTGGTGGATTGATGTGTTTTTAATAGGTCAGTTTTATTTTTTTGTACATTACTGTATGAAATAACAAAGCTGACTAATATTCTGTGATTTCTGAAAGATCAATAATATAAAATGAGTCAAAGTACAGTAAGTACTGTAATGGTACGGCCATAAACAATTTTTTATTGCATAAATTCTTTAATAATTATTTTTTCCTGAATGTTAGCAAAGACTTTTGTTTAAAAATACACTCAATAATTCTTAAGAACCACAAATGTCCTTGATTTTTACTGACAGTAAGGGTCAGTTTTTGTCACCACAGATTATAGTGCAAGTTAAATCCACATTTTGGTTGTAGTTTAGACACATTATGAAGAGTGCTCGACTAGCCCATTGTCTTAGTGGTATGTGATGAGTTGTTTTTTTTTTCTGTAAATGATTAATTTCTTCTGTATTGTACAGGGTGGTTCAATGCTTAAATTTTTCACAAAAGAAGATGAGGTGTCCTGATCCAGCACTGCTCCAGAGGCACCAGCAGCTGCACAGGTTAAGACACAGGATGCAGCACTGAGGACCGTCCATCTCTACAGGTACACAGAGGGTTTTATTCCTTACCTTTTGTAAATGTTTGAAACTAGGAATGCTTCTGCACAAGACATGTCAGGGTTTATTTTAATGTAAACTATTATTTTGTAATGTAAATATTTAAATGTTTAAGTATAATTTTGAGTGTTTAAATGTATATTTATGCATATAAAAAAATAAATAATAAATAAATAAATAAATAAATAAATAAATAAATAAATAAATATGTTTGTGTGTTTTTGTTTCTCTGAGGGGGGCACCACAGTAAAATTTTGCTTAGGGCACCCTTTTGGCCAGCAGCGGCCCTGCAGGTGCCCTTTAATGCCCAAAGGCATTAAAAAGGAAAATCAAAAGTAATTTGCAATTTTTTTTTAATATAATTTTTCTTTCCAGCAGCCATTACTCCAATCTTCAGACCAGAAATGCTGATTTCTTGTTCATTATCAAACCTTAATATTTATTTTTGTAGATACAGTGACACAATTAAATGATAAGGAAATGTAATTATTAAAATTGTTTATGTTAAAAAACTTTGATATCATAATGTTTAAAGTTCCCTTACTGGATAAAATTATCTTAAAAACATATATAAATATATGTAATTATTGTAATTGTAATATGTCATTATAATATATTTAAAATGACAGTTTACATACATCCAAAGTACTGAAAAGTAATTTACCAAATAACAGTTACTTTTTAAATACATTTATTAAATTGACAAATCAGCATAAAATGTAATTAATCTGAGTCCCTATATATATTTAACTAAATAAGCAATGCCTCAATACCAAATAGTTGAATGATATTTGAAGATCAGACTTACTTTGACATTAGGGATTGGTTTTTTGGGGATGTTTACTCTAGCAGCGCCGGTGTCCATGATCACATCACCGCTGGCATCTTTCTTGTACTTCGCCAGTGCCTGAGTCTTCGTTTGCAAGTACGGCCCGAAACTAGGCAGACTCTTAAAGAGAGAAAAAATGATATATTCAAAGTTTAAGGTTTAGTTCAGGTACAAGACAGGCTAAAGATGAACTGCAGAATCAACACCTTCATGGACATTGTAAATATTATTGTGATTTTAGTAGCAAAATTCTGTGAATTGCTAATTATGCTATTTATTACCCTTACATCATTCCAATACACAGAAACCTTTAGTTAGTTTATTTTCAGAATGCAAATTAAGATATTTTAGATGAAATCCTGGTGCTCTCTCATCCTCCATTGATAGCAAAAGACGTTCAAAGTCCAAACAAGGAACCAAAAACACTGTCAGCACATTTTACCTAACGTCAGTGGTGATCATAAAAAGTTCCATGAATCATTTTTGTCCACCAAAAAAATTAAGAAATAACTGTTCACCTATGTCTTCCCCATTAGATCAGGGTGTGCATATACTACAGGGAATACAATGATTGCATGTTGCACTGCTGAATCTAATGGCAATATATTGTACTGCCAATAGTAAACCCTAATCTGTCACTGAAGAGAAGATATTGGTGAGGAGTCATACTGTAACTGTACACCTAAATAATCTAATTCAGTCATCATTCACTTGTTGCAAACCATTGAGAAAAGCTGAAAACCGTTGTCCATTGACTTTCATTGTATTCGTTTATATTTTATTGGATGTCAATGGCTACTAGTTTCCAATATTCTTCAAAATACGTTATTTTTTTCTTCAAGAGAAAGAAAGGAAACTCGTAAAGCTTTGAAAGCACTTGAGGGTCAGTAAACGGTGAGCACATATTAATATTGGGTGAAATATCCCTTTAATACACACCAATAAACTTTGATTTGTGACTTTCTATTTATTTTTCTATGAATATACATGAACTACTCATCCATTCAGCATTATAAAAATGTATGTTAATTACTGTTTAATGAAAGTTAGTTATTAGAAAATTATAACAAGACAAGATAGACATAAAACACGTGAGGCGTGGACGTTTCATATGCATATTTAAATAAAACCAGGCTTTTTACTCCGATTTAATGGAAGGTGTGATAAAACATCCTTGCTATCACTTCCCACATCCATTTAGAACAAAAGTGGTTGTAGTGCCATCTTTGCCTCAGAGTCCTGCACACACGCCTGACCCTCCAGAGCAGCGGGGCTAAAGAGGCGATTCGTATTCACAGTCACACTCTCATACCGACGCAGCGAGCCTGAGAGGTGGCCATAAAAGAGCCTGGAGGCTTCGCTCTCCAAAGGCCATTCGACAGGAAACGTCGGCTCCACTGACGAGAAATCAAGTTTGCCACAAAATTAGCCATCCTTTTAATGGAGCCATAAAGCGAATCTGCAATGAATTGTTAGGAAATCGTATAATACTACCGGTAATTGCAAGGATTAGCTGGTCAAACTAATGGTTTGACACTAAAATGGTAATGAATGGTAATTTGAGGGAAATGGACTTATGGGTTGCTGATGGGCACCACTTCCAATAACTGATATTTTCATTATTTTTAATTTTTTTTTTATAAATGCTCTATTATGAAGAAGTCTTTTTTGGAGGCTAATTATCATATTGATAATTCGAAACGTTCAAGCAAACACTGAATATTCTTAATGATGGTTTCGTTCTGCGTTTCTCCTCGTGACCTCTCTGCAAAAGAATAGAGGATTTTAACAACAGCCTATTCCACCTTTCCTGCAACAAGTATTCCTTTCAACGCCTGCTGCAAATCCATTCGTCCCAACGACGGGACATTTAAATTGGTCTAGCATTTTCCCAGTCACACAATCTCCTCAAAGCTGTCATCCACAAGCGTCTGTAACCCTTCATTTCCACCATGGCCAGATGGAAGTGTCTCCGCCGCAAAGGAAAAATCAAAACACGACGAGACTTAGTTATTAGCCGAGCGCGTCAAACTTCTCACAAGAGTGTTGTTTTTTTTAAAGGGGGTCATTTGATGCATTTCATGTTTGTAGTATGTGTGCTTGTGTGTTATGTAGCTGATTGTATATGTATATGGTTTGCAAAAACAAAACAATATATTTCTATCTAAAATACAAGACCTGCTGAAAACACCTAATTCCAAATTTCCCTCACATGTTGAAAGTCACTATGTGGAAATATTTGCATAATTTCATCATTATCGTTTTTGAAGTTGTGTCGCAGGGATTTGGGGAAAACTAAACACTTTATTTGGCCTTCAGAAAGTGTGGGTCGATATCAACTGTTGGTGAAGACTGCAGTCGTGTAGTTTTAAGGACATTCGTTAGACATGCATGGTTTTCTTCAACATTAAATAACATGTCTTTTCAAAAGAGTGTCACATTCAGATCATGCATCAAAAGCATGAAGGTAAAAGTAATTATGATATTATTACATACTGTAATTGACCCTTTGCTAAGCCACACACAAAAACCACCATCTACCAATCGTGGCTTAGCAACCGTACGTGCAGACCAGAGCATTGTGCATATGGATTGTGCAAATCTGATACCCGGCATCCCTAAAGTGGACGGGATGGTAAAATTTTTTCCCTTTTACTTACTGTACATTGTTATGGGTCAATGATGCTAATATTTGACACAAATCTATCAGTTTCCCCTTTCTGGCTGTTCTTTCTATGAATTGATTTTGTAGAAGGAGCGTCCATGCGTGTTTCCTCGTCAGTTAGTAACACTATATTTCATTGCACAACATTTAGTCGATCAGGCTTTTTGGCTAAAAAAGAAAAATCACTGTTTAATTTGTTATTATTAGATTATTTTTAAATTTCACCTCTCCTGCTGTGCATGAACTAAGCTGTTGAATGGTCAGCGTATGAAGCGGCTAGGCTAAGCTAGCTTAAATTTTGATCGAATTATTCTCTAATCGGTTGCCCATTATGTCATAAATATATACTCCTGTAATGCATACTGCAGTCCTTTTTTGTCTGGCTTTCTCAGATATCTCACCCGTTCGCCAAAAATGACTAATTATATCCCTGGCAATGCCTGACACTGGCGCACAGACATTGTAAAAGCCGTGCCAGGCACAAAAGCTTGAAAAGCTTAGCAAAAGTAACTAAGGAGGGCGAGGTTTAGGGAAGGGTCAATTGTTTTACTTTATACAAGCAAAGTTAGGGAGCTGTACTGCCGCTCCCTATATGCAGAGTATGCAGGTTGCGTAGGGGACCAACTCCAGAGGGGGGCACCATCTTGTTGCTCAAAAAAAAAAGCATATTCATACATTCATTCATTTATTCATTCATTCACTTTTCAGCTTAGACCCTTTATTAAGCTGGGCTCGCCACAGCGGAATTAACTGCCAACTTATCCAGCATATGTTTTTTTACGCAGCGGATGCCCTTCCAGCTGCAACTCATCACTGGGAAACACCCATACAGTCATTCCCACACAAATACTATGGCCATTTAGTATACCCAATTCACCTGTACCGCATGTCTTTGGGCTTGTGGGGGAAACTGGAGCACCCAGAGGAAACCCACGTGAACGCGGGGAGAATATGCAAACTCCTCACAGAATTGCTAACTGACCCAGTTGAGGCTTGAACCAGTGATCTTCTTGTTGTGAGGCAACAGCACTACCTACTGCGCCACCGCGTCGTCCTCAAAAATGTATATATTATTATTAATAATTTAGTAATATTAACATACACTCAGTGTAAATAAAAATACATTGATAATATGTTGATAAATACATTTAAATATTTTATTTTATGACACTTGCAAAAAAAAAAAAAAAACTGAACAAAAAAATTCACATTTTTTTGTGTGCGCATGCAACCACGTACGCGCGGCCCACTTATCATGCGGCTGCTAGCAGCATATAATTATTATTACTTGATGCAAGTTGCAGCTCTAAAAGACAGCAAGAAGAGAGCCAAGAAGCCAAGAGGAACCAAGAAGAGGATAAAGTACAAGATGAATCGCGTGCATTACTTTCAGGTAACTTATGTGAATGAATCTGAAAAACATATTTTGGTTGCTTAAGTAAATTAGTAAGGCTAACGTTTACACACACACACACACACACACACACACACACACACACACACACACACACACACACACACACACACACACACACACACACACACACACACACACACACACACACACACACACACACACACACACACACACACACACACACACACACACATATATATATATAAACAACTTAATGGGTTAATTCACCCAAACATGAAAATTCCATTATCAATTTCTCATCTTCATGTCATTCCAAACTCTTGAGACTTTTGATCATCTTTTGAACACAAATAAAGATATTTTATATGAAAAACGACTGAAGTTCTCAGCTCCTTCATAGGCAGCAAGGGTTCCAACTTCCAGTAAAGGAAACAAAAACATTAATCATGTCAATTCAATTCAATTCAATTCAGCTTTACTTGTATAGCGCTTTTACAATGTAGATTGTGTCAGAGCAGCTTCACATAAATGGTCATAGTAACTGGAACAGTGTGGTTCAGGTTTTAGTGTTTAAGTCCAGTTCAGTTCAGTTTAGCTCAGTTCAGTGTGATTAAATCATTACTGAGAGTTCAAACACTGAAGAGCAAAGGCATCGATGCGTAGCTCTACCGATCCTGAACCATGCGAGCCAGTGTCAAAACATTTCATGTAACTTCATTTGTCCAGCTGTAATCATATGAATGCTATAAAATGTTTTTTGCTCCCATTCTGGACTTTAAAGGACTTAGGACCATTGCTGTCTATAAAGGATAAGGGAGCTCACAGATTTCATCCATGAACATTTTGATTTGTGTTCCAAAAATGAATGGAACCAAATTTTTTTAGTTTACAAATATGATCAGTAAAAGCTCTGTCATATTTTTGAAAGCAGTAGCTCATCTGCAGTTGACAAATGATACATGCTAAAATAAAACACCCATGGGCTATTTTTAGCCAAAACTTCACAGACACATTCTAGGGAAATCAGAGACTTAAAAGTGCTCCCCAAATTCCACATTTATACACTATTCAATGGCA